CATCACTTCAGACAAGGTTAAAACAAATTAATAAAGTGAACAAAGCAAGTTAGTACCATGCCTGTCCTTTTCCTTGAGAGTTCGTTCCAAATCGCCAGCCTTGTCCTTCACCCGGCCAAAGAAGTCTCCATGTAGTAACCACCATGTTATTTAAGCATTAGGAAGAGGAAACAATGTTAGTTCACAATGCAAAAAGCAACAATAGCAGCAGTACCACAAGCACTTTGAAATCATTCTGAAGAAGTCTAAAGGAAGAAAATATTTTGTGTTTAATTTTCTATGCCTACAGACTGTCTGCCTTACTTGAAATTCATCTTCCCTGGTGTTACACAAAATGCAGAGAAAACCTTATTTTGGGGAAAAATACATAATTTATGAACCACACTTTATTTGTTCCAAGTTTAAAATAGGCTGATTAATAAATAGTTCCCACTAAATGAGCAGGTTTGTATATTAACAATTTTAAACAGTCAGTATAGTGGTTGACTATGTACTGAATGAACAGAATTCAATCCCCAGCATGGCAAACGATTTTTTCCCTAGCCACTCTGTCCAGACTGGCTCTGAGCCCAACCAGCCTTCTATCTAATGGATATCAGGGGTCCTTTCTCCAGCGGTAAAGTGCAGCCAGGGCACGATACTGACCATTCACCTCTACCTAATGTCAAGGGCAAGAATGAGTAGCAGTTAAACCTCCTCTCCAACCAAGAACCTCCATGGTATGTAGTGGGCACTTTACTTTGTACTACTTATACAACTGCAAATTTTATTATGATAATCTTTAATTCACTTAGTGTAACCGAAATTTTTTCTAAAAACAAGAAAAATAATCTGTGAATTTAGACAAACAGGGCAATTAAGATCCAGATAAGGGCATAAATTTTGCATGACATACAACAATTTTGGCCTCAACAGCTCAACCCAATATTACACAGCTACTCATTATGCACAGGAGATACCAAGGCCATAACTAAGGACATAACACCCACACAAAGCATTATGTGCTGGTGATGCCACACACTGAATTTCTGAAATGCCCCTCATTAGTTATGATCTCACATTTTTCCACTAGCAATGCAGTTTAACAAATAAAATATTTAATTTATGTGCTGAATGTAACTGAGTATTAACATACAAAATACCTTCAGGTAGAAGATGTAATTACTTCCATACCAGTCTCAACAGTTCTTTCAACAATAAGGTTCTAATGAAAAATGGTAAGAGATTCCTCAGCACCCAGACTTTTTCTTATGGTACTCTTACATTAAAGGCACTATTTTCCAAGAAAATTACATAAGAAATACTTGCTTTGTCTAAACCACAGCATATCTGATTAATAGACAGAGAAATTAATTTCCAGACTCTCAAAACTTAAAGGGTAAACCTGTTTAAATGGGCTGTTCTATCTTCATATTCAAGCATACGGCCTATAGTCACATAACTTAAATGCTGATTACAACTTCACACTCCCTAAGTTAATTCAGCACATGAAGCAGAATGTAAACTAAATGTCATAAATGTCAATCTACGTCTCATAAGATGCTAAGAGTTGTAAATAAAGTAGAAAATGGTAACAAAATTCAGAGATTAATGTTAGCTGAGGCTGAGAAGCACACTAATTCACAATCAGAAACAAACCCACTTTACAGCCAAGGCTAAATTTAAACACTCAATGCAAAAGATGAAAATGTACCTGCTATTTTTTTATGAGCATCAGGGGATGCAGACTGTGTAAGTGCTGCAACTTTCTGGTACTCTGCTTGGTTGATGAGTCCCTGAGCTTCCAAAGTACCAGGTGACATGGTACTGTATTCTTCAGTTAGAAGATGAACTATAAGTAAATTATATAAAATCATGCATACAAACAAAACTGTTTACACATTAAATAACACTTTGTGCCAAATGCATTTTGACCTCAAGAGGTCATCATCAGTGGCAAAACTTTAATTCATTAGTCTCTTTATTAAAATCATACAATTCATGAAACAATGGTTTGTTATAAAGCACTGAACACTTTATAAAACCATACTGTAATACCCATGCAATGTTGAAGTTCACAATCCAGGCACAGACAAAGCAACCACGGCTCACCACAGACCAACGACGGTAACCTCGAGTAAAAGTTGGGCCAGTGGACGTTAAGCTGAATAACTCAATTTAGATAATACACCAACTCGTGCGCAATTAAACATTCAGTGTAGTATTACATGAAGTATGGTTTTATAAAGTGCTCATTGTTTTATAACAAACCATCATTTCATGAAATGTATGATTTTAATAGACAGAGTAATGAATTCAAGTTTTGCCACTGATGATGACATCTTGAGGTTGAAACGCGTTTGGCACAAAGTGTTATATAATGTGTATACAGTTTTGTTTGTATGCATGATTTTATATACCAATACACTGCACGGTATGCAAGGTTTTAAGATTATAAGTAAATTGCAGATATGCTCAATTCTTTAGCCATGTAAAGCAATTTAAATTCAATAGGAATGCAAGAAATAATAATAATTAAAATTCATGTTCCAAACAGAACATTTTTGCAAAAATATCCTTTTTTTTGTCTTTAGCCTTTATACTCAATTTAGTATAATATTAAATGTGCAAACCATATTTCAGTTCAAACATAATCTCGGTTACATACTATATATTATTTTAATTTCTAACATAATATTTTGTACACTCTCTGTAATAAAAATCAAGCACTTAAAACTTTCTAAGCCTGAAACCAGAAGTGATGTAAGCATAAAGCTGGCATCATGATTTCCCTCATTCATAATTTGTACTGCTAGAAATATGACATGTAACTGTTCTTTAAAAAAAAAAAGCAAACAAATAATTTACAGAAGAAACAGCTTGTAATTATAGTACTATCAACAGCACATTTTTATCTTGGATGCCATAAAAGAGAATATAAACTATCAACTAAAACTTCAACAAGACAAATTACAGTATAGCATGTGAAGATTTCACTCAATAAAGTACAGGTAGCCCTTGATTTACACCGGGGATGTGTTCCTGGACGAACCGGCATAATCGGAATTGGCGTAAATTGGAACGATTTTATAATGTAAATCAATGGGAAGTTAATGACATGTGTTCCCAGCACCCAAACATTGATGATTAATATAATGGCATTACATTTAAAGCTCTGAAATAACGTAAATATAACAAAGGGAATTTAAAAAATATATTTTATACACTTACAATCGGCGATGGCGTGATAAAGCGGCGTTAGTTCTCTGACGAAGTCCCTTGTTGAGGATTGTCATGTTTTTTAGAGAAGGCATGTAGTGTGGACTGTTGTGATTTCTTCTTTCTTTCTTTCAAAATTTCATGATAAGGCCTCATGGATGCCATAATGCTCCTCTTCGCTGTAGCACAACAGCGAACTCGCATATGCAAAAGTTTGCATTTCACAAGCAGCTTTTACCGATTCATCGATCTCATTGGAGCAAATTCACGTTAACGAAACATACGTAATTGCAGAGATAACTGTATTTATAATCAGCAATGTAAGAATTATGATTTAGTATAAGAAGCAGTACAAGATACATTGTAAAACGTTATATATAAAAGTAAAAAAAAAAATTCTCACTTTTTTACTTTCTGGTTTCAATATCGGTGTTATTCTGAATCGGCGCAAATTAAACCAGCGCAAATCAAGGGCTACCTGTATATCCTGTTTTGCAAAAAATCATATATATATATATATATATATATATGATAAAATATTTGTACAACAGATAAAGAAGAAAGCTCCTCACCATTTTTTGATCAAGCACAAGCAGTTAAGACACTAAAAATGAAAAACAATGCAATCCCATTTTTTGAAGATAATTCAATCAAAATGAAGCAAATGCTACCTACCTCAGATTTCTCATTCAAATTTCATGATAATGATATACTGTATGATAATCAGTGCTATGTAGGAACACTGGACTGGGAAAGATTAAATAACAATCTTTATGGAAAAAATTCAGGTAGTGTAAATAAGACCACTTAAAATGGGATAAACACTTACACAAGTAGGGGATCACAAAACAACGACGTAAAAATGTTAACAATAAACTAAACTCAACCATGATGATGGAGGCAAGAAAGTCTCTGAAATAGTGGATTACAATGCCATTCTCAGAGCTGATCACCCAAGAAGACTTCATTAGAGTTAGACATCATAAAAGCTTCAAATCTTACATAAACTTAACTGAATAGCACATTATAACAAAATAATTTAATACAATACATAGAAATAAGGATCTGAGCAGATTGCTGCAGGCATTTTCTGTACTGTTCTTGTTCAGGATTTTGACATGGTAAAGTACTCCTCTTCTCAAATATACCATTTGCACATAGAAATATATTACATGGGTTTGAGCCACATGTAATAACAAAACAACAGCAAACAATTTAAAACAACCAGTAAAAAATAATTCTAGTCATGCAACAGAACCATAAGAAAAATACAACCTGATTAGTAGAACTTTTACAGGAAAAACAAATTAGTTAAATGGCTACCAATTCATTATGAATGTAATTACATACAATTAAAATTCATCCTTAACTCCACGGGACTACTCTTGCTATTATATACTGTTAACATGGATGAGACTTAAAGTCTCCAGTACATGATGCATGTCTTCAAGATCTTATGCTACCATTGACTAACAGCATTGAACTCAGCCCAAACTTTACAATCTTTTATTTCAAGTCAGCCACAATAAAAGTGACCTGCTTCTACTTCAGCTAACAACCTTACAACTTCCAAATATACACAAATGATACAGCAGTTAAATTATTATAATGTAATATAATTCCAAGGAAGTCCAAAATGCAAATAATTTTACTTAATGAAATTATACTGAATTTCAAAGTCATTCTATAATCAGGAATAGATGATAACTTCCCATCAATCAATGCCTAGTCCAGAAGTGTAGTAAAAAAGCTTATACTGACTATGGATATCCTACCATAAATCATAAAAATGGCTGACATACAAGCAGTGCATAAAAGCTGTCTCAATGAAGTGTGGTGAACTATTCGCTTCAACATGAAACAGTACTGTGCTATGTTACACTCTATGAAACTGGAGCACTGAAGCAGAATATTAGATCCAAAGTACTGTATTTCAATGTTTGATGGACCAGTTTGGATTGTAATGTAAACATAATAATCAAGATCATGCTTATCTGATGTGACACTGCCTCAGATCATATGGAAAATTCATGCCGATACATTCAAAACTCTGATTACTGCAAATCACACAGACATATGAAGTAAATAGTCCAACATGCACATAAAAAAATATTTTGAATTTAGATATCAACACTGTATACAATTACAGTTTTAACAAAAACAGAGCCATACCTATGAGTGCCTCAATGTCAAAGACCAATATGTGTGACTCTGGATCTTTGGGGTTTGTGCGTAGGCCCTGGATCATGAGGGGCAATGCTTGACTTTTCTGTTGATCACTACCATCCTGATTGGTGGCATGGTGAAACTGCTGTAATTGGTGTAATCCTCGCTGCAATAAAATGAATGTATACAGATATCTTTACAGTTTAAACATGAATTTTGACTATCTGCTTACTGTGTATCAAAAGCAACACTGCAATAGGTGCATACTCCAGAATGTTGATCATCATCATGTATATCATAAGAAAGTTTTATCACTAAACTTTGCAGTGCAGTAGAAAATTCAATGTCTCTTGATACAGTTAATGCAGCATTTTATGCAGAGTATAAAGTATACTTAAACTAATTGGACTGAAAGTGCCAGGATTTGAGAGACAGTGTCATGATACAGTTAAAAAAATGTGTGTGAAGGATAAAGATAAACTGTCTAATAGTTCTCTAAGTAGGAATCTAGGTAATCAACTCACTATTCAATGGTGGTTAATAGTTATGAAGCCTATAACATTCCAATCAATAAACATGTTTGAAGAAATTAAATGGCTGTAATGACTAAAGCTATTACGTTTAAATACCTGTTACTTATCTTCTGAAGATTCAATTTTGTGGGTATAAAGCATATCTTTGTTTTTTTTTGGTCAAGAAGAGAGCTGTTCATCTTATAAATTCTACAATATATAAATAAAAAAATAAAAAAGAAAGTACAGTACAAGCCTGATGTAAACAGTATAAACTATAACAACAACAAATCCATTTTTTCATGCAAAGTCAATGTCATAATGTTAAATACAGGAATATTTTCAGCTGCAAAGGGAGTGCCATTTCATTGTTTTTTATATAACAAGCACTATTAACTGCTCTCCATAACCATGTAAATATATGCTTGCCAATGAAGTGTTATCTAATTATTTTTACTAAACAAGCCTGATCATTTTCTATAATCATGTAAAATTAAATTTGACAACATGGCTTAGCTGCTATTGCTTTTCTGAGTCAGCTGCAGTCCACTAGAAGCACATCACTAGCTGTGATGGAAATTATTACATGGAAAGCATGTTGTATCCAAGTAATCAATACTTTCTAACTACCATTTCATTTGATCGTCAAATAATACTTATAAGCCATTCAGTTTCTGACAAGACTGAACAATCCAAAGAAAAGTGAATTTGAGTGCTCACACACTTGTACAGTGACCAGACATGCAGGAGGGATTTTCACTTGACAACCACCCTTTAATCACACTTGCAACCAATCACACTCAATAAAGTGTCTTTACCTTTTACTTTTCAGTCACTTTTACTCTTTGCATTTATTTATCTTGTGCAACAGAATTAATGTTTGTTATTCTCTTCAGTCACCTAACATTCAGAGATGGCTGTCTTCTGGGTTGTTTTGTTTAGTGTGATTGGCAGCAATGAACAGACAAGCATGACAATAAGAATCCAACATAAAATTAAGTGCATGATTCTGTACACAAAAACATAACAGTGCTGTGCATGTGCAACTTGAGTTCAAGGGGCTGTTCAACACAAGAAGCGCTCCAAAATCACAGAGAATTCTGTGGTGATACAGTTCCTGGACACACAAAATATACATTGTAAGGGTACCAGCAGGATAGCCAAGAGTTCTGACACTGTCAATGTTGTGCAAGAAGCACTGAAATAAAGTCCAGTGAAATCAATCAGACAGTCATGTCAATACATGGTGAAGAAAAGACTGAAAAATGTTCTGCCTACAAGCACTGCATGAACATGATGAATAATTATCAGACACTCTGTAAGTGGTATGAGGTAACTCCTATACCTGTGTAGCATGTCTGATTGCAGACAGATTACGATGGCGGAGGCCACGGAAGAAATGGACAGCTGGATTAGCAAGACCAACATCACCAGAACTAGAAACTGCAGGATTCTCATCACAAGCATACAACACCTCTTCAGCATTGATACCATGCAGAACTCTGTCCAAATGACCTGCAAACAAAACACAACTTATTCAATAAGCAAAGGGTTTCACAAAATCCACTTTTGCTTCAGGTGTTATGAAAATGCAGGATGGTAGAGATGTGTAAATTATTAACATGTGACATTTATATTTAATTAGATATGGCCTACAGAATAAGAAGAACAAATTGATTAAGACACCCACCTTTTTCAATTTGCTCCACAGACTTTATTTACAAGTAATGAGTAAGAAACTCTGCCTAAAAGACATCACAACGAAATGTTTGTACAATCAAGATCAATATGACCATTTTATATCTCTCATATAATTTCCAACTTCACTGTTTTATTCATATTCTTTTCACTGTATTCAGAATCCAAACAAAACATTTTTTGTTTGCCCTCCTTGGCTTGCCACTCATTTAACAAGCAGCTGTCAATATGCCCAAGAAAATTAATATTTTCAATGCCAATAGCTCAGCATATTCTCTCTTTGCATCATGTAACATTGCTCTTTATAACATCACACATACTGAAAGAGACAAATAATGAATAATGTAAAATAAAAACAGCTAATTCAAATTCCAATTTGTTTAACAGAAAATACTGCACACATAATGAAGCACAAAATCAACTGGTGCATACACGTCACAAAGAAACAAGCTAAAGAGAATATGGGGAGTGGGGGGCGGGGCGGATTTCATGATAACTAATAAAATGACTAAATCCATGTACCAAAGCAAATCATCCCATCCACCTTATTCTCCACAATTTAATCATCCAAACAATATCAGGTGAGGAGTACAGGCCGTGAAGCTTATCATTATGCAATTTTCTCCATGATCTGTCTTCCTCCCATTTAGGTCCAAATATCCTCATCAATACTCTGCTCTCAAAGACCCTCAATCTCGGTTCCTCAAAAATTTCACATCTCCATAACACAAATCATGATGAAGTCCATGTAACCAATCAGGAGGGGGTTTTATGTGTTACATCACGGTATATTTTAAGTGCAATTTCGCTGAGCACGTGGTCAGCACCACGCACTATAACCATGCTATACTAAAACCCAAACTTAATAACCAACCTAACACAATGAAAAACTAAAACACTAACAAAACCATTAACCTAATCTAATAAAATGTAAATGCACAGAATATGAGTATGTGTCTTATATTTCCTTCATACTTCAAAGTCTATGCAGAAATACAAACATTACCACCCAAATAAATTGTTTTAGGTCAGTGCTTTAGTTAAGGTTTCAAATTTTCATTAGGTTAGGTTCACAATCATTAACAGAGAGAGAAACAAATATGGGAACTGAGTACTGCTAAAATACTGTGAATGAAACAATTGGCTAACTGTGATTATTCAGAAGATGTAAAATCTGCATCTGCTGGGTCAGATTCATTACAAAATACCACCTGCAACAATGAATGCTAATGATGCCTGCCTAATCTTCGGACATTTCATACTACATAATCATTTTATTTTTTTCGCCACCTGTATTCTATATCACAGTGTATTGTAAACAAATACGTGATTAATAATATTCCAATCTAAAAATAAGGGGGTGTGTTACACACACAAACCTGAGCAAATATGGTAGATAAACTACTAATCGTATATCCTGTATTGTTGCAAACATACTCAGTAAGACGCCTTTCTTAAATATCCCATTTCAACATGCTTGTATAAAACATTACTCAAGGTAACCTACCGTATAGAAACTAAATGACAGAAATTTTAAGTGAGATGAAGAAGGAGATCTGGGACTCATGTGCTCAAAATGAGAATTCTAAAATGCATTAAGGCAATCTCACTAATATTCTCGCTCACACAGTTATAATTATAATCTTACCTGTTTCCATTTGCCAGACATAAACTGTTCCGTCACTGCAACCAACAATCATGAAGTCGTCCAAAGGACGCCACTTGATTGTGACAACCGGGAACAGATGTCGAGATGCCAATACAACACACTTCCTCTCAGTAAGTCCCAGAAGTGTAACTGAATGATCACTTGCAACACTGCATACACACTTCTGGATACGTGGCTGATAATTAATAATACAAAGTAAATATAAGTTAAACCATTTTTTAATAATTAGGTATTAATTTGGGATTTAGTAGTAGTAGCAGTAGCAGCAAAAAGATAGGAGTAACTTTATGTCAACTGATTCTCTTATTGATTTCTTATTACTGTAAATTTAATAAAAAAATTATTTCACAGCTTTCTATTACATCTTATACAAAAAAATTATCTGTTAGAATCACAAAATGCATTATATCAACATACTATCAAACAAAATATTTTTACACACACTACAGTAACGTCCAACATGCTAAGAATTGGAATTAATTTACATGTTATCACTAATAGGCCATTTGGAAAGTTTCAGACTACTTATGTCCGTCACAGCGTGTGATAACATATTAACAGCACTAAATGAACAAGTGTTTACACAGCAGTAGTTATTCCTCATGACTGCTCATTACAATGGCGAACTTACAGTAGACTCCCAATTATCTGGAAGGGGATTAACCAGGTTGTGGATTAACGGAGCTGTCTGGTTTAAACAAAAATTAAAAATTATTTAGAAAACCTGTTGCAAAAGTTAAAGCATTTAAAAAGAAAGGAATGAATACAAAAATTACATGTTGTTCAAGGTAACAACATTCATCAACTGTTGCTAAAACCAGAACTTTATGACAACACAACATTATTACTATCCATTGGAATCCCTTTTTAAAAAAAGTTGGTATGTATCATATTCAATTTTACATAAAGTCCTTTATGTTATCAGTATAACTGTAAAATATAAGTAATGTATGTCTGCAAATAAACTTACATATGTTACATTTGCATGTTTAAATAGTGTTTGTCTACATATTTGTTACATTTGCATGTTTTTCTTTCATCCTTGTGGATTGTCTGGGATTTTGATTATCTGGGAAAATATATTGTTGCCCTCGGTGGACTAGTGGGTAGCATGCTCATCACTGGACCCAAGATTTGCGGGTTCAAACTTGGCCAAGGTCAATGAATTTTTAAGAGTGATAAAAATCCACAGCACGATTTCCTTCGGAGGGGTCCCATGTCATATATTTATGGCATGTAAAAGAACCTTACATGCATGAACAAGATGTTCTGTAAGCAAAATTCAGAAGCCATTTCGTTCACAATTCTCTACTAAATGGATTGGGGCAGAAATTGTGCAGAGGCAGTGGACTAGTCACTCACTACGCACAAATGCACACTTCAAAGACTAAGAAACCTCCTAAAGGAGGCAACCAAGACCCATACTGGGTTGTATAGCCAAAGAAGAAGAAGAAGAAGAAGAAGAAAAAGAAGAAGAAGGGAAAATATATTTCACGACCAGTTCAGATAATTGAGAGTCTACTGTATGTTCTTTTTCAAAGGGGCAGTACACCATTAAGTATCTGAACACAGAGCAGATCTTAGAATTTAATATACAGTTTTAACATACTCTGATGAATGGATCACTTTTGCTAATTTTTTCAACAATCTGTAGCAATAAACTTACACTGCATGAATTTGGTGGAACAAGAAGCTGGGTGATCTCACCAGCATGAACACAGAACCTGTGGAGAAGAGTGCCAGAATATAAGTCCCAAAGACACACAGCAAAGTCAACACCACCAGACACAAGGTGTGACTTCTCATAACGCTGGTGTAGGTGGTGAGGATACAGCAAGCAGTTCACTCGTCCTGCATGACCCAACAGCAGCTGGTGTGGTGGCCAGTCTGTAAAAGGTAAAAGTAAAGCCATAGCGAGGGTCATCATGGCTAACCAGTTAACACTGGGCAATAAGGTGATAAAAATCCACTCAACTGTTACAAAACTATTAGAAACTGTGTGTAAGAAATCTTAAAAGCAACACTAGCCAAACAGCATAACACTAACCATCATATTGCTGATGCTTTCCATGCAGTAACTGCAACATGACAGTCTGTGTAGCAGGTACAATAATGATTGAACCATCTTCACGTCCCACAACCAGCCGACTTCGCTGAGGAAGGTAGATGCTTGCTGTCAGTCGCACTCCTGGCTGGTCACCTCTGTCCTTTAATGATTTGTACAAACGTTCTAAATAATAATCCAGTTCTTTACCAGCGATTCATAAATTGCAAAAATCATTCTTATAAGGAGATTAATTATACAGAATGGAACGAAATTCGCAAAAAAGTTCTCCACAGCATAATTCCTTGTCAGAAAATTAGTAACAAATGTACGACATATGTCCTGAGGCGCTTGGTTTTCAAAGTACACGTCACTGTCAGATGGAGTAACACACTTCTCAGCAGTGTTATTTGTCACGATACATGAAGTGCATTGTTTGGTGTACTCAAGATACACAGCGCACAGCAGGGCTCAGTTATGACCGAATGATCGTGGAATACTGCGACATGCTAATAACCCTCGGTACCTACAATAGTCGAGCTGCTGCACAGGAACACACGCTACGTTATCCTGGGCGAGGTCATCAAAACTCTAATGTGTTTCGATGACTGGTGCAGTGTCTCCATGAGACAGGACGTGGAACACTTACAGCACATGTGAATGCAGGTCGCCCACGGACTGTACTGACACTACCTAATGAAGATGCCATTCTTTACGTGGGCTCCTATCTGCTACTTGGCAGGCTGACTACTAAACATTATCGCAATTTTTTGGAAACTGTTCTATCTCGTGGCAAAACTTCAAGCAGCTGTGACAACGGTCGATGTCAACGTGTTAAGACGTTTTCGAGAGAACGCCGTGCGGCGCACTGCTGTCTGCTTTGAAATGGATGGAGGCCGCTTCAAAAACCTATTGTAACTATGAGAAGCCCATAGTTTGATCATCTGATAACTTGCACCATTTTACAGTAACGTGTATCACACCAGTACCTGTCCTGAGCTAACAATCTCCAATCGCCTTTAACTTCTATCTCCCACAGATCCCGCTTGATATTATCTTCACATTTACGTCTAGGTCTCCCCAGCAGTCTCTTCCCCTCAGGCTTCCCAACCAATACCCGGTGCACATCTATTGCCCCATCCATGAGCACTACATGCTCAGCCAATCTCATTCTTCTTGACTTAATTATCCTGCAAATATTGTGGGAGGAGTACAAATTTCTAAACTCATCATTATGTAGTTTTCTCTCCTAGACCCAAATATCTTCCTCAACACCATCTACTCAAATATCTGCAATCAATGTTCCTCCCTGAGAGTGAGAGACCATATTTCACAACCATACAAAACAACAGGCAAAAATATTTGTTTTGTATATTTTAATCTCTAGGTTCTTCAAAATCAGACGGGAAGATAAAATATTTTGAACCGAAAAGTAGCAAGCATATCTGGAATTTAGTCTCCTAATTTCCTCATAAATATCACTTTGATATGTTATTGTTCCCAAATATTTGAACTTCGTCACACTTCCAAAGGATTAACCACCCTAACATAATTTTGCCTGCCTGTCTGCTAATGGGATACTAACATGTACTTATTTTTTTCTGTATTTATTTCTAAGCCAACCTTTCTACTAGCTTCTAGTAAAACTTCTGTGTTTATATTTAAATCATCACCCAATAAATTAACATTATCAGCATATGGCAATAACTGATGTGTCCCATTCAATTGCAAACCCTCCTGCCTATCTTAGAATTTCCTGATGGCATATTCTAACACAAAGTTAAAGAGCAATGGAGACAAAGCATCTCCTTGTTTCAGACCATTTTTGATGGAAAATGAGCCAGATAAATATTTATCTATATGACTTTTACTACTGGTTTCATTTAAGCACATCTGATTTGTCTGCTTTTTATGTGTCTTAATGCATATTTAATGCAATACTGGCTTGCTAGGAACTGGAACATGCAATTTTCTCCAGCCTCTTGATACTTCCCCTTTCCCAAGTCCAAGTATTTTCATCACCATTTTGTTCTCAACCACCAAGAATCTTATGTACTTCCTCTTAATACTAAGACCAAGTTTTATGCCCACACAAAACAATAGATACATTATCTGAGACTTGAGATCATAATCAAAAGAAACCTGTATGTATAACATGTAATAGTAGCAAGCCTGTGTAACTTAGAACGTTTAGTCTGAGTTTACTTCAGTTTCTTCTCAACAGTCAAAGTGACCTTTCTTTGTTCTTGTAACATAAGGGCTGCTTCTATTTCAATTCAATGCTCAGTCATGACTGTATACTCTTTGTTTAAAATAAATGACTCACCAACTGATCCAGTATTCCTACAGGTGGAGGTTTCATCTCTGCCCATGCCTTGACCAAACTGGTAAGCACAGTTGGTGGCATTGCTGTAATATGGTAATACAAGGACTGCACAAATGTGAATGTATACATATTAATCTGCTAAGACATTATCATAATTATGGAGATAACTTCCTTACAAGAGGGAAAAACGATGGACAAGAGGATAATATAATATGGAAGTTTATAATCTGCATTCATCCTGTAGTCCAACATTATATTATAGAATATTCATGTCATGCTTGGGAAAAACACAAGCCATTGCTAATATATATATATATATGATGGGAAAACCCAAAGTTCTCAGTAACAAATACTCCTGTCACACTCAGGGAAAACTCAAACCATCCTAAGATCAGGGGAAAACAAAAGCTCTTGCTAGGATGCACACACAACAAATTGCTCTTAGTAAAGATGCCACATGGCAGAATGTTCACAGTAATGTTGCCAAGATTGGTGAATACACCCAAGCTGTCGCTAAGACGCAGAAAACATTCAAGCCAAGATACACATATTTCTCCTGGTACAATGATAATCAGTCATGGTGTGGTAATGACCACAAATGAAGCTTAACTTGAGCACCAACACTAGGATGCAGAAAAAATTAAACTAAGATATGAACATGTTACAGGAATTTATGTGATAGTCACACCTCTGGTGGCAAGGTATGCAAACTAGGTTTGAATCAAAACTGGTAACATAAAAAACAGGTTTATTCCTGCCAACATCAACAGGTCATATGCAAGTATTGTTACAATTATTGAATCAAGAAGGTTGGAAATGGACTGGGCATGTAGCAGGCATTCAATAAATGGGGACGTATTAATAATTTCAATTGGAAAATCTCACTGGAAAAGACCACATGGAAGGCCAAGTAGATGATGACAGATTAAAATTAAAGTAGCTCTTACAGAAACACAGATGTCAAATCTTCATAAATGATGTGAAACAGATTGAACTGGCTCAGGATACAACAGTAAATTTCTGTTATAAAAGTTCCATTAAATAGCACACTAAAATAGAAACAACTTAATTTTTTTGGAAGTCAAGAGAAAATTCAATCATACTACAAACTCACCTGGTGGTTTAGCAAAATCTTCTTGCTTTATCTGAGCCAGCTGACTATTGGTAACTTCAGGAATGTTCCAAATCAGTACACAGCCCTCTGAATCACCTCGTATTAAATATTTATACATTTTGTTCTGGCGTGACACCACATGATATCGCATAGCTGGTGGACATGACAGAGGCTGAAATTGTAACAGGGCATACACAGTTTTACTTCACTAAATTACTATAACAAACATAGAAACTTTAACCTGCTTGAACTTCAAATTTTTATGGTGTCTCCACCTATCTATTCATGGTGTTCTTAAGTTGTATTTATTAGTCTCATAGAATCATTAAAAAAATCATAAAAAATAAAACAATTCTTAAATCTTGCTTTCATGAAGTTTATATTTTAACAGGAGTTTTCCACAAAGTCATGAAACATTTGTTTCACATCTGTTGCACTCTGTAAAGAATCTTTCTTATAGAAAATGTATTATATTGTTACAAGCACTTGCTAGTGGCTTGTGCTTATGTCAGCAATAAACTTCCTCCCGCCCTCCCATGGGCAATAGCTGGATGCTGTGTTATGCCATCCTACAGTCTGAACAAGCAGGGTCTTTGTTGCTCCACCAGGCACTTGTAGTTTCCAGACAAGCCCAGGATAAACCCAAACAACTTTGGTCTTACTTGTCTAGACTCGTAGTTTTGAAAACTATAAATACCAGAAGTCTGGCAACACACAGAATTCTCAGTTAAGAGTGCTTGTAAGTAAATATGCAAGCAGCAAGTTGCAATGTGGAATGGCAGTAGTGTGTAAACACAAAAGATGACAGTGATAACCAGTGTAGCCTGGTCATTTATAAAGAAGACTGTGATTTGTAAACTGACAGAGTATTAACGAAGGAAATAATAAACTGTAACAGTATGTGGTATAAACCTATTTTTCACTTTCAAGAACCTACAGTGCTATTACTGATTTTGTTATAATATTTTATCAAAAAAATTATTCAGAACTTCTCTGCTCTGAAAACACAACACAAATGATGCAATAAATAAACTGCCAGTGGTTAATGGATTTATATTTTTAAGCACAGATATCAGCTGTTATATTTCCCACTTCTATGAGTACACAATATGATACATATTTAATACATTGTTCATTTTAAGGTATTATAATGTAATACCAAAAATGTTTAAAATGTAAATTTCCAGAAAAACAAATGGTCTGCTAGCACCAGGAAACAGTGGCATAAAAATAATGAATGTGGGGCCGAAGTACTTCATTTCCATCCACAGGTGTTACCTTATCTGATGGAACTGCTAGCAAGCAATACAAAAATGGGTTGTCATTTTCCACTGACTTGCTGTGGAAGTCCTTGCTGTCAGCAATGCTACTGTAAGAAAGTGTAATGTATCAGAATCAAGATTGATGTATTACAAGGCTCCCATCAACAATTAAGAAACAGACACTAAGAGCTAAGTTATAACATAACTTCTTAAACTAAAAATAATTCATTCTTCAGGGGACCTCAACTGTCTCAAGAATAAATAGTGTTGTATAATCTGAAGCTAAGTATAATAAATTCTTCTCGGGCTACCAGCTGTTTAAGGTGGTTTAATGGAGAAACCACCAACATTTCAAGAACCATCTTGACAACTACAGTACCCTGAGGACAAAGATGGTCCTAAAAACAGTGTTTTCTCCAGTAAACCACCTTACACGGCTGGTAGCCCGAGATGAACTCATTATACTAAATAGTGCTGTAACCTAAAACAACAAATCCAATTTACCCTCAACAGCAGACAAATTATAGTACTGGAATGTCTGTCCTTGCATACTTTATCTCAATTAGGAACTTGCCAATAATGTTGTCATGTGATGAAACTAATTCCTTTATAAATTCCTTCCTTAGTAAACTGCTGGTATGCTATCCATCCAATATGCAAAATTTGTTATTGTTACATCTAAATCACAATTTGAAGTCAAACACAATGTTACAAAATCTGACATAGTCTAAGCACTACCTATAAACATTCTTAGAAAAAAAGGAAAACATACACTTCTGCCTGCTGAAATTTGAATATAACTCTTCCTTGAAGTTAGATAGTCCTGTATTTCATCATCCAGTACTACTAAATTTCTTTCAAGTTCTAAGTGGTTTTCTCTTGATAAATGTATTTTTAAATACCCTTAAGGCAAGATGTTATGGATGAAATGACTAGTGACGTGACAGTACTTACTTCAGTTAAGTACTTTTGTGTTTACATGCTTCATTCACAAGCAAAATATTTTCAGAAATAAATCTCCATAACGCAAATTTTTCATGATATATAAAGAAGCTTTTGCGGCAACTGAAGTAGATGAAAGACTCTTGGGTTACAAGCCGTGTCAGGTGGCTGTATGGTGAATAAACCATATCTTCTGCCAATGTTTCGAGAGCAATCTCTGCTCTCATCCTCATGGCTGCTGCATAACAAATCTGAACCTTTGTAGCACACTTGCCACTGGGAACTGAGATATGGTTTATTCACCATTCAGTCACCTGACACGGCTTGTCTTTCATCAGCAAATTTTTCAGTTTAGCGGTAGTTGATGTGTCTAAATCATATGTTTGTAACATATGCATAAATATATAGCGTGTGTTAGAGTTTCATGTCCACATTCTTTCTATGAAGCTTAAGGAATGTCTGTTTGGAACTAAAAAAACACTCCTGACTTTTGTAAATGTAACTGAAGTTACAAATGTAGTTATTATGCAAATTATATTACTGAGACTTATCAATATAATTTTATAAAATAATTTCAATGAGTCATACATTTAAATTATATTTATTACTAATGCAAATAAATTTTATTTAAGGAATCTACAATAAGAATGGAAATTAAATCATCCACTGTGGTATTTTTAATAGTTCTGTTAGAGCTCAGACACAACAGGAAAGCAGATATTTGCAAGAAACACCAGGATTACTCAATGCAAAGGGAGCCCTGGTGTAGGGGAAAGATGATTAAAAACGTGAGTATAAGTTAAAAAATCCATGATCAGCCTGCTACAGAGGAAACAGCTTATATAAAAGTCTACAGCCCAGAATGCTGTATGTTTGCACAGTAAATGCTGTTGACTTTGCCTGCATTTAAGAAGTTTAATGAACTACTGATATTATCAGCCAAAGTGGACAAAAATCCTTCACTGCATTGTCACAGTCCTGTTCTGTCAGGGCTCTACAGAATAAGAGAGATAAAACTGTGTATAAGTAATATTATACATTTACCTTTACAATCAGGCAATGATTAATTATTGTTTCAAGAGTAAAATGTAAAAAAAAAGCGAGTGTTATATGCTTCTAAGAATTCAAAATCCATTTTCATCCTCTGATGTTACTTCATAAAGTTGATCACTGTGACGAAGAGCCAGAAAAACTGTGTGATGTATTATTTGTATCATAAAATTATAAACATAAAAATAAAAGCAAAAGCAAGAAAATAACTGCAGACAACTACATGAACAGCCATGCCCTGTTAAATGCCACAAGTCACAAACACACACACACATCAATCACACTAAAACAAAATAAAACAAATACATTACAAATGGCAGTCACCCAAAGAATTAACAATCTGATCTACTTAAAATTTAAAGCCCATAAACCTATGTCAGTATTGAATTTCAGTTGGGTCATGTTCCTGAATATGATGCTTACTAACTATCCTCAGAGTTAGCACAAATACAGTATAGCTGAAATTCAGGCATAATTATACATGATAAACAACTGAAGCAACCCCTGCAAAAGAATAAATAAAAGTTGGTGCTTTTTTAATTATTTACAGGCAAGTTCTGCTCCCTTTACAATATAACTGTGCAAAAGCCCTTTCTATTTATTCTATCATAATGGCATATACCAACACTTACTACTGTTATTACTTTCTCACAAATAAGCTTTGGTCTCTTAGGCCACCTTTAGTAATTACTTATACATAATATAATCATTACGTTACGATCAAACAAATGTCTTTTAGAATTACATATTTAAAAATCTGAACTTTTTTTAACAATTAAAATGTTGACATACTGCCATCGTCATCAGGGCGATGAATCGCCCTGATGACGGAGGCAGTATGACCTCTGAAACGTTGGTTAACATCGACCAGACTACACAGCGCAACAACCCAGAAGACGGAAATCTTCAAAACTATTTAGGTCACAAAAGCTGAACAAATATTAATAATATTATTTTATTTGTACTGACAAAGAAATGTTCAAATAATCCTCCTCCTCCTACATCATTATAATTATCTGCTCTATGTAGAATGAATTCGTGTACATTCTAGAGCGTACCATCAGTGACCATACCCATTACAGCATGCAGATGGCTACTGTGTCCTCTGATCCAATGGGGAGAACCAGGTACACATTTTCCATCAAATGCCCCCACTAAAACAAATTGATAGAGATTACATCTGGGGACTGTGGAGATTAATGTATCAGTCCTCCTCAATTGATCCACTGACCACAAAACATTTCGTTAATTAAATTAAAAACATGCAAAAATGCTAAGCACTACAGAGTGATAAAAAATATACCACAATTATAGTGGACATTGCCCATTGCCTAAGACAAATTTAATGTACCAATACCCATCATTCTTTACTTCAAGTGACTGACATTTCACTGACAATCACTTTCAACTGTTTTGTTTTTGACAGTAGTGACAATGGTTGGGAAAAAACTCAGAAAATTTTTAATACCAACTACTACACAATCAGGTCTAGCATACATGGCTACAATTCAAAGGCTTCTTGGCTTGATTCTGATAACTGGCACTAATCTTAAACGTTGTTTAATCAATTTAAAAGTAAGTTACATACTGAAATCTGAAAAAAAGACTTCCCCAAGTAACATATGTAATATTAGCTATATAGAATTAGTATAAGTTCATTCTAATGCCTAAACTACTATTTAAAAAAATAGCACGAATATGTGACAATGATGATAAGAAGCAGAATTCAAAGTTGAGCAGTATTTCTACATGGACCCACACATAAACATAACTTGAAGACATAAACAACTTGAAACGATCCTGTTAATTCAAGCTCATGTTATGCAGTCAACTGCGGTCTTCTGTATCATGACAAAATATGCTCTTTTAGCTCAGTAAAAGTGCTATGCTATGCTCAGAGTAAAAACTGAAGGTGGAGGAAATACACTGGTCCAAAATGCTGGCAGTATCACAACATAGAAGCCCACTATCGATATCTTCACTGCCATGAAAACCTAAAGTCTGTCATGTAATGCCGATCTGAATGAATCTGCTTAAAGGCACTATCTTCTACTTCTGAGCTGTTAGCATACATGCTGATATTCACTGAACCACACATAATGTTAAAAGACCACACAGAACTTGCCTTTTAAAATAACACATTATAAAACTTCTGACACAAAGATTTACCATCTTTAGTGGTATGATAGACAGAACAATTTAGTTCTAACAATTTCTAATTCAAATTAAATCTGAAGGTTTGTGATGAGGGTTCATTATTAAAATAACAGACCTTAAAACAACTGAAACACATTACACACAGAGAGACTCCAGTCTCTGAAATGTTGTATTTTAACTATATTAAGAAAATAGATAATGCCCACAAAGTCTGTTATTTCATTTCTAGTGCATTCATAAATGAATAAATGAAAAATGGTACAATCATGCACATGACAGCACAACCACAACCAGGTAAATACTGCAAGGGAATACACATACAGGATGTGCAGCCAGGCAATACAAGGAGAACTACTGAACTATTTACTAGTCTTACATTATTTTATAATGCTGGTAACCTACTAAGAAAGTTTGACAGTGTTAAACAGAAATTCAATGAGATTATAAGAATAATTGTTATTTTTCATTTCAAACAGTCAGATTTTCAGGGAGCAAATTTATTTATCAGCTCCAGTCACTGTTATATATTATTTTCTATACTACAGAAGCCAGAGGGGAAGAATATTTCATAAAGACCACTGGAGGGATGGCACAAAACCATAATGGGCCACACTGTCTAATATCTGACAGGATGATGATAATTTTGTTTTCATGGAGATAAATGAGCAACTGTACTAGTGACTAAATCAATTTGATTCAAAGTCTATAATTCACACTTTAGCAAGAATTAAAGTGTCTTACAATTTGTTACATGAAATAACTAAAAAGAAAAGTTCAGAATGCATTTTCATAAAAGAATGTAGCTCTTTGCTGCAATACTCTCTCCAAGAATATCAAACTCATTCAAATGGGAAATTATATAACCATATATTTAATATAAAAATATTCCTATTTTTACATGACAAGAACATTTTAATTTACAACAGAAAATTGATGAGCTAATCTGTATTCAAATACAATACCAATAATACAAAGAATGTTATGCCTGTAACAACACTGAATTGCCTAAACTGCAAATAAAAGCAGCAATTGATTATTCCTTTATTATTATTTTTATAATTGAATTGAATAAATGAATTGAACTGAATAAAGTGATACCACACTGCTAACATACATGAATGTCATATATCAAACCAAAAAGAAACAATGTCAATAATGAATATCTCAAATATTATGGTATATCCTGGTATTGCCTGACTTTCAACAAAACATTAGTAAAAGAAAACATAAAGGGCTGTCTGTTAATTATAAACTAAAGTAATTAAATTAGTAATGTAAATGTAAACTTTTCCTGATAAAACCAAACATTCAACACTAGGCCATGCAAATTTAGCTTAAAACCAATAATGAATGACTGGAGAATCAGAAGATCTAATAAAAAATATTACAATGCAAGAAAATTACAGACTGCAGCTGTAAAGTCTTAAGAGTCCAACAATAAAACCATAAAGCTCTTCAATTAGGCAATGCAATTCAAAATGGGACACAGCAACATGTTATGTTATGCAACATGCAACCATCCATTGCATACATGTGTGTGTGTTTGTGACAATTACTTCATTCAATGTTCCACAAAAATATAAAATTATGCAAAACAAAATATGAGATGTAACAAATAATTAATAAATTAGCAAAGCATATTTAATATAACTGGAACATACTTTGAACAGATGTAATTCTATCCTTTTATCTTTTTGACAAACCAGCTGCAATCTTTCATTTTCCATTTGTTAAAGAACTCTGAACACCTCTTTGCCAAAAACACATCTCTGGATCTTTTTGCATATATACAAAGGAAAAGAAAAAATAATCGGTGGAAATAAGAATTTCAGAAAATGAAACAAAAATGTTAACAGTGGACCTTGCAGCATCAGTCACGTAGATAAGTACTTAATTATGCAGAATGTCAATGTAATAGTTTCTGTGCGGTTCATAAAAACTCTGGCCACTAAATCAGTCTGTTTCATCTTCAACCAACAATCTGGGTAGTGATGTCAAAACACTAAAAAACTGCTTTGTGCCATAGCAGGAGCTCCATCATGTATAAACCACATAGTCTGTCATGTTGCCAATACTACACCCCCAGTAACTTAGATATTTCTTCTTTCAGAAAATGTAAATAGGAGGATTATGAGAGCCAAGACAGTAGCTCTATGAGGGGATCATCAATTAATGTTGCCCAAACATTACCTGTAAACATGCCTTTTCACTGCCCAATTCTGCTATATCATCAAAGCAGTAATGACCATATATTTATCAGAACTTTTTGGCTTGATTTTGGGAGTAGAACATACGAGGTGCGATCGGAAAGTTTCAAGACTGTGTCAATAGAGGGCGAACCTGATGTAGTACGAGCTTCTGCCGCTAGGGGGTGCGGCCTACATTCATAGTGAATCAGTGTGCCAGCCGGCATCATCGAATTAGCATTTGTTTCTTAGTTACGGGCGGTTTGGTAGTGCATTACACCGACCCTCCTGCGATTTCGGAATGGCGTGTGCATCAAATGTTGCCAAAGACTCGCCAAAACGGCTACGGAAACCTATGAAATCCTAAAGCAAGCATTTGGGGAGTCCGCAAACTTTGGTGTGGCATTCACGTTTTAAAAATGACCGAACCTCTGTCGATGATG